TTGCACCAAGCGATCCACATTCACAACTCAATTCAATTCACGACACGCCACACCAACCCACAAACTCGACATTCAATCGGCCACATTCAAACATCAAATTCATCCACAAACGCCACGATAACACCGAATAATTCTCGAGAGAGAGAAAAACCGAGAATATACAAAATCGGGTCCAAATTGGGCAGTTGCGCAGTGACAGAAATCTATTTGAAATAAATAGTAAATAAACTCCAAAAATTATGAAATTTGGATATGTTGTATAAAACATCTTGATAAACATTTTATGTGAGAACTCGAAACCCAGTTTCAATTGTAAGCACCTCTTTTTTTCACTTGAAGTCAGACGAAAATCAACCCGTCCGGTCAGGCTGCCTGACCATCAAAATGCATCTCATCCAGTACCCAAATCACTTTGGAAAGCCTTGAAATTTTTATATGTCATAGCCACAAATGTCCCCAACAAGTTTTGTGAAGGAAGTATTTGAAAATGGGTTTGAAAAAATTTATAAAAATTCGAACAGACTCGAAGGTCGGAGGAACAGTTTTTCCGGCAGACTAATTTCGGTCCAAAGATGGACTTCCAAATGGCCTCCAATGATTTCCAAAAATTCTCAATTTAAATTATACCATACTTCAAGATGTTATGAACAACTTTCATGAAGAACACTTTCACAAATTCGTCCCACAACAGTCACAGAGAAAATAGCAAAGTCCAGCGACGCAGCAGCAACCCTACTGGAAATCAACCAACAAGCACCACCAAGCACAACCAGCCACTAAACCAACTATCCACAGCCCTAATCCACCCCTAAACATGTCCATTAGTAACCCACTAGCCTAACCAAGGATTAGGAAGTCACTTACCAAGGGTTTAAGCAAGAAAACCGGTGAACAGGCAAACTGAGCTCCGGCGGTGAACAGGGCTGGACGGGAATCTCCGGAGACTTTCCGGCGACCAGGTTGGGATGGTTGGAACGAACACAAGATGGTGGTAGTCGGGGTACCAGGAGTGAGGCCTAAAGAGAGAGAGAGAGAAAGAGGGGGAAAATGGGTGTTTTCCAGTTGGTTCTGGGCTAGTTCAGGCTTTTGTGAACAGTGTGCATTCCGGCGGCCGAACGGGTGGCTGACCGGCGATTCAGGCGGCGAATCCGGTGGCTTCTGAACCGGAGAAGCAAGGCGGAGGTGATGGTGCTTGGAGCTTCGGCCGATTCCAAGGAGGGAGAAAGAGAGAGAGCTCCGGGAATAAGAAGAGAGAGAGAGAGAGCAAGTCAACCCACTCAAGTGCAATCCGAGGGTCCAAAATTGATCTTGGTGAGCAAGCCAAGATCTAAGGGCCACGAAAATTCCTAGTTTTCAAATTAAAGAAAAGGCTAAAAAGACACTAAATAAAATAAATCCAGAGGGAGGTATACTGGTCAAAATCCGCACCCGGTCCAAATTTCACTTTCTGGCTAATATGGGTAATCTCGAGGCTGGCCACAATAATATCGACACCGTCCAATTAAATTCATCACGAAACTCCCAGAAATTCGACACCAAAGTTCGGGCTCTAAATAACGGCCAAATTCGATCGAGTGCAATTCTAGCGAAATCTCAATTTTAAAAACAATATCCGAGAGTGATCAGTTCCCGGACGAGATTTTACTATAAGCACACTGACGAATTACACGTTTTATAAATCCCAAAAATGGGTCGAAATTCGGAATGTTACAGCCCAAGAGCCGCCCGTTAGTCAGAGATACGCTCAAATCGCGTTGGTTCGATCTAACCACTAAATTGAATCCAAGTTTGGGTTTCCGAATTTCTTGAAAGTCATGACAGAGTAATTGGACGACGTTGTTATTAACGTGTTCAGCCTCGAATTTGTCCGGATTCGTCAGAAAAGTGAAATTTTGACAGGAAGTGAAAAATGACCGTTTTGCCCCTGGGATTTTGTGAAGACCAAGTGTAATATGAGAAGGCCATTTTGGTCATTTCATACCAACTTTAGAGATAAAAAATTTTGGACGATTTTGCCCCTGCACTTTTTGTGAAATTCCGATTTTACCCTTGCATATTTTTGGTGAGAGTTGATCTTGGCTGTCGATTTTAAGATAAGCTTGAATCGTGGCCGTCGGATGGAAAGTTGAGAGGAGGGTAGGATGGTAATTTTGGCTTGGGGTTAGGTGCACCAATTATTGTTGCCACCTATTTAATCCTTTTCTCTCTCTCTCTCTCTCCTTCACTTTCTCTCCTCATTCTCACGCCTACACCATCATCTTTCATTTTCCTTTCCCTCTTGGCCGAACCATCTCTCTCTCTCTCCCTTGGCCGTGTAATTGGCCGGAGCCGTGCCGAATCGCCACTCGCTCGCCGTCCGCCGTGCGTCCAACCGCCGGACCGCCGTGGCCACCGCTTCCTTGCCGTCCCCTTGCTAGGTTGTTCTTGCTTGGAATTTTCAAGTAAGTGACACTCTATTCCCTATTTAGGATATCGGGTATTGACGGGCTCGTTTAGGCACGATTTAGTGTAGTTTTGTGGGCTGTTTTGGACGAGGGTTATTATGGATGAAATTATGGTGATTTGGTGAGTAATTAGGGGCTAAACGAGGGCTGAGTATGGTTGATTCAAGTGCTGCAAAATTCGGTTTGGTGCGTAGGGTGTATAATTTGGTTCGGCTCTTAATTGTGTGAAATCGTGGTGTAGTGCCGTGCTTGTTGTGCCATGATTTTTGTGATGAAAAAAATGGAATGTTATGTGATGGTTGTATGTATATTACATGGGCTGAATCGAAATGGTTGAATTGGGTGCATTTGAGTGCATTTAATTAATGTTCGAGTATGTGAACGTGTGAGATTTAAGGCCTGTGATGTGCGTGTGATCACTAAAAAGCCCTGAGGCGTGTTTACGCGGGGTACAGATAAAATATGGCGTGTTGGCATGTTCGCGTGATCACTTAATTCCTGAGGCGTGTTTACGCGAGGAATTGAACCGGCCTGATACGTGTTTACGCGGGTCGTAATAGGAATGTGGAGCCTGAGGCATGTTTACGCGAGCTGTGGAAAGAGATTGAGAGTGAAATGTGTGATGTGGCAAGTGAAAATGAGATCGAGCCTGAGGCGTGTTTACGTGGGCTGTGGAAAGAGATTGAGAGTGAGATGTGTGATGTGGCAAGTGAAAATGAGATCGAGCCTGAGGCGTGTTTACGCGGGCTATGGAAAGAGATTGAGAGTGAGATGTGTGATGTGGCAAGTGAAAATGAGATCGGACCTGAGGCGTGTTTACGCGGATCGTTGGCAAGTTTAATGAAAATGGTGTGGTGGTGCATGAACGAGTGTGAAATGCGGAGTTCGGAAATGCCATATGTTCGACTTTTGCTTTTGGGCATGAGATTAGTTTGAAAAGTGCATGTGGTTGGAATTTGTGGAATTGAGACTAACGTGCATATTGTGTATACTAAGAGCCCAGGTAAGTGCATTTGTGTACATGTTATGTGTTTATTGAGTGACATTATGTTTGGACTTGTCTGGAGGTACGTGATAGCCTAAGTGGGGTTTAGGCTGTCGACTTATTGAGACTTGTCTCATAGTTGTATAAATTAACATTTTCAGAACCCCGGCCTGGACCATGAATCCTTCACCGCCACCGCCTCAGCGTTTTGGCATACCTATGCACACCGATCATGCAGTAGTAGAGTACCCTATAGATGACAATATGACTTGGATTAAGCACACCACAGTAATCTGGGTAGATATAGGACAACTCCTTTGGCAAGCCCATAGTTATACAGCCTGGTGCTTCCGGGAGGGTATTGACGAGTTCGGTCCGGTTTGTGGTTTTGATGTCCCTTTCGATGGAGTGGGAGATTGGGGTCCATCGGCTATACCTCCTCCTGATGGTGAGATGACCAGCCTCAACACTAGCTTCGCACAGTCAGGTCTTCAGCCTGTACCTGCAGAACCTTAACCCACGATGGCTGAGCCTGAACCGGAGCCGGGAGAGTCACAAGCAGAGGTTGATCCGATGGACGTGGATTTGGAAGAAGAGCTTGAGGTGGAGCCTGAAGAAGAACCTGAAGAAGAACCCGAGGAGGAACCGGAAGAAGAGCTAGAGGAAGAACCTGAGGAAGAACCGGAGAAAGAGCCGCCGATTGATGTTCCAGACGATTCTGATGATGAGCTGATCGAGATTGAGGCGGATTCTGAGTCTTTAGAGGAGCAGGTGGATCAGGGGGAGTCAGATTCAGGTTTTGGGGAGACCGACTCAGAGTGGACACCGTCTAGAGGACGTAGGGGTTAGTTAGGGGTAGGGTAACCCTTTTTGAAGTGCCCCCTTTTTGGAGTTAGTATATACCCAGACTACTGATCCCTTTTGATGTTGTAGTGTGAACTTTAGAAGCCCAGTATGCGTGTATAATATGTTTATTGTAAATAGTATGTAATGTTATAAGTTTGACTTGGTAATGAACGTGTATTCTCCCTAGTACCCCTTTCTAAATATTGTATGGGTGTATGTTTGCTTCCGCTAGTGCTTTATCTCTGTGTGTGAGGGGTCGGCGACATCCTGGAACGTCGCAATATTCGACCGAAGAGGGATGTTGCGAGCTCGATGGGGTTCGGGGCGTGACATAAATTCTATGTGCAAATTTTCTTATGTCAAAAATCTTGTTGATTATTTTTTATATACCTTTGCACACTGATAAAATGCATTGAACTTCTGCTGATATTCGGACTTTGGCTTTCACACACTGATCAATATCATCATATAACTGTCAGTGTTCAAACTCTGATTTTGACTACTTTACTTCCAGCTTAAATTTGTGAAAATACATTAAAATCATCTATTCACCCCCTCTAGGTGATGTTGGTAGCTTCAACAATTGGTGTTAGAGCTTGGTGCTCATTATTTGAAGTGTCATATTACTTCCGAGTTAACGATTTATTATGTCTGGCAATCTTGCACCAGGTATCATTGAAGGATAGAGCAACACTAGACCTCCCTATTTTGATGGGAAGGATTACAACAAAAACAAAATGGAAGCCTTCAATAGATCCACAGATCCTCTTATGTGGGAAGTTGTGCAAAATGGGATTAATCCTTCAACTGGAGTCTCTTCCACAACTGCAGATTCCAACTCAAGGGAAACAAATAAGAACAGAACTGCAACTGCAATAATTACTCCCATTAAATGAGCTAAAAGAGAAGCTTTAGATGTTAAAGCTCTTTACTCTCTTTATTGTACTCTCTCTCCTGCTGAATATAACCGTGTCTCATTTTGTGAAACAGCAAAAGAGATATGGGACAGGCTTCATGTTACCTTCGAAGGAACTGATAGAGTCAAAGAAACCAAAGTTAACACTCTTCTTGGTCAATATGAATCCTTCAAGATGAATCCAAATGAATTAAATTTTGAAATTTCTACAGATTCACGGACATAGTTGATAGACTTGCATATCAAGGGAATCCAATTTCAGCACCAATGAAAGTGAACAAACTTCTACAAGGACTCTCAAAGGAATGAAACCATGTCAAAACCTCCATCCGAGAAACTCAAAGGATCATGCCATTATCTATTGATGAATTCATTGTAACCGTTCAATCATATGAAGTTGAACGAATCAACGAATTAGAAGATCCAAAAGGTAAAAAGTCCATTGCTCTAAAATCTAACGTTGATTCTGACGAAACATACTCTGAAGATGATGAAGAGGATGATGAAGAGTTTGCACTCATGGAAAAGAAGTTCAGGAGAATGTCCAAGAAAGGAAGAAAAATCCTCCAAACAAGCTAAGCAAAGGAAGTCCTTCAGCATCAAAGAAGAAGGGAAAGACGTTATTTGTTTTGAATGCAGGAAACATAGCCATATAAAAAAAAACTACCATCTTGTAAAGAAAAAGAAAAGGCAAGTTTGAGAAATCCAAAATGTCTCTAAAGGCAGAGACCTAGAGTGATAATGAATGTGAAGAAAGTAATGAAGAATGTGCAAACGTATGTCTAATGGCAGAATCAGACTCAGAGGAAGAAGCCAAGGTAAGTTACCAGGAAATTCCTAATGAAGTATCCGATTTCATTGATGAATTGTGTTCTTTTTACAAGTTAGCTCTTAAGAAGGTTTCTAAGTTGAAGAAGGAAAATTCAAGGTGAAGGCAACATGATCTTTCTCAAAAAGACAAAATTGAATTTTTACAAAAGGAATTTTCACAAATCAAGGAAAACCGAGATTTGCTTGCAAAAGAAAATGCCTCTTTGAAAAAAGAAATTTCAAATGTCACCAAAAAAATTTCTTTCGGTTAAAAAATATTAAAACATATACTTTCCATACAAGTTCCACATTACTACAAATCTGGACTTGGTTTTCAAAAGAAAAGTAATCTTCTAATTGATGTTCCGAAAGTCAAAGAGAGACTTAGACAAAAACCTCCAAAAAGTGCTTATCAAAATCATTTTCAAAAGCATTTTATAAAATCTGTTGGCCGAGACACCTTCAAGTGTTCAAACCGTGGGAATTAAAATTATTTTAATAATGATTGTCCAAAAGTTTAGAGACTAACTGAGAGAATCATATGAAGAATGGCAGAGTCTACTAACCCAAAAGGACCTAAGCAGGTTTAGGTACCAAAGAAAGTATAAAACTACTCATATTTTGTAGGTATCAAAGAAGAGAAGAAACAAATGGTACTTGGGCAGGGGCTGCTCACGACACATGACTGGAGATCTAAGCAAATTTGTTGATCTTACAAACTAAATGGTGAAAGTATGTCCTTTGGTGACAACAACAAAGGAAAAATCATAGGTAAAGAAACTGTAAAAATCGAAAATCTTATCATCAATGATGTTTCTCTGGTTAAAGGACTCAACTATAATTTCATCAGCATTAATCAACTGTGACATTGGATTCAAGATAAGCTTCCAAGAAGACAAATGTTTTGGTTCGAGTAAAGATAGTTCTCAATCCTTCACTGGATGAAGGCATGGTAATATCATGTAGAATATGATAATATTCACTGTCATGTTTCTATCAAAGATGAATCATATTTATGACATAGAAAGCTGGGACACATTATTATGAAGCAGATCTCTAAGCTTTCAATTAAAAAACTTGTTTGAGGTCTACCCGAATTGAAGTTTGAAAAATCTGTTGTGCATACCTTGCACTCTAAGTAAGTAGGTAACAAGTTCATTTAAATCAATTAATCAAGTTTCTACTAATCGTGCATTGCAATTTCTTCATATGGACATTTTCGGACCAACAAGAAATCAAAGCCTTGGTAGTAAGAAATTTTGTTTGGTAATAGTGGATGATTACACCAGATTCACTTGGGTATTCTTTTTTTTTTTTTTTGATAACCGAGGTGTCCGGGCCAGCTTGCGCGCACCTCGACTATTCCTCGGGGGAGACTAGCACAGCAACCCACCGCTATGGCCCCCCACTTAAATCACAAGTGCTCAGCTGGGGAATCGAACCTAGGACCAGTGCGCCTAACCACACAATCCCAAGTACGCCCTAACCAACTGAGCTACCCATGGGTGGGTTCACTTGGGTATTCTTTCTTGCTCATAAGAATGAAGTTTTCTCTTGTTTTTCAAAATTTGCCAAGAAAGTTCAGAATGAAAAGGTTACATCATTTTTTGCATTAAAACTGATCATGGGGAAAAATTTGAAAATCAAAAACTTTTTCGATTTTTGTGATGAAAATAGCTTTCAGCATAACTTCTCTTCACCCTATGCTCCAGAACAAATAGAGTTGTAGAAAAATCGTTCTTTATAAGAAATGGCTTGAACTCTTATGATTGAAAGCAAATTCCCTTTCATTTTTGGGCTGAAGTAGTTTCAACAGCTTGTTACATTATAAATCGAGTCTTTCTTAGACTAATTCTTGAGAAATCTCCTTATGAAATCTTGAAAGGAAGAAAACCAAGTATCTCATACTTTCATGTATTCGTTTGTAAATGCTTTGTGCTTAAGAATGCTAATGTTGATGACTATCTCATGAGGGATGTTCTTCTCCAGCCTCATCGTCAATGGAGCAAGGCGAATCTAGGCAAAAAGCTTTAAAACTGAGGTTGATGCCAATCAAATAAAGAGTAATTTTGTGAGATCCAAATGTTCTAATCTCTAGGAAAAGGCCTAAACGTTGCTCATCATGCTTAGTCTCTGTGTTGCTGTCGAGTTCAATTTTGTAACCCTAGACTTCTTATATAATGGTCTTTAGAGGGAAGGAAATCCCAATATCATAAGAGAATTTAATGACGTTATTATAATTATAGTGAAAATGGATCTATTTATCCGTCTTTCTCATGGGTGTCTGAGGCTAGCTTGAAGGCCACACAGTGACCTCTGACGACCATTTCCGATTGATCACATGGTTATTAACATGGTTTTCAACCACGAGGCCTTGAGGGCCCCCCAACAGACTATATCCTAAGGCTGTAAATGGTTCGGCTCAGTTCAGTTTTCTTGAAAAACCAAACCGAACCGAGCCGTTAAGGAAGCACCCTTGAACCGAACTGAAACTCGCTCGAACCGAATTGGAACCGAACCAAAAAAACCGATTTGGTTCGGTTTGGTTCGGATCAGTTTTCAGTTTTTTCTTCTTTTTTTTCTTTTTCGCTTTTCATTCATGGCTCGATTTTCCGTTTTTTCTTCTTCTTTTTTTGCTTTTTATTCCTATAAAAATATTTTAGTCATTTACGCTATTCAACTATTTATAATTTCGTTTACATATTGCTGAATCGCCATTTCGAATAAGATGAAAGTTAAATAATTCTTTTTAATATTTAACGACATTTATTTCCTAGATTTGAATCTTTAATGTCAAAATGTGAACATATTCATGATATTCTACGTAAGAGAATCATCGATGTTACAAATTAAAATAAGTTGAGTGATTGTAAATATATTACAAATTAAAAACCCATTATTTAAATTTGAAAAACGAAAAAACAAAATCACATATTTAAACTAGGTTCCGACCAAAAAAAAAAACTAGGACATTTGATATCATTAATATAATTTGTGTTAGAAGACTCTTCCGAATGAATAAATTCAATACGTCATTATGAACAAGATTAAAGTTAAATAATTCATTTTAATATTTAATGACATTTACTTTATAGATTTTGAATTTTAATGCCGTGGGATATTTGTTTTTTTTCTGATGGGCCAAGTGAATTTCGACTTTAATTGTCGTTGCATATGTACCACGCCGTTTTGTATAGTAACACTACAAAAAAACAAGGGATTAGCGACGAATTTTGCGACGAAAAATTTGGCAAAATCCGTCGTTAATCGAATTTGCGACGAAATTAGCGACAGAAAAAATTCCGTCGCTAATTCGGCGTCGCAAAATTTTGCGACGGAAAATTTCAATTTCCGTTACTAAATTGCGATGGAAAAAAATTCGTCGCAAATTAGCCACGAACTTTATTCGTCGCAAATTAGCCACGAACATTATCCGTCGCAAATTAGCCACGAAATTTATTCGTTGCAAAATTTGTCGGAAATTTCGTCGCAAATTAGCCACGAACTTTATCCGTCGCAAAATTCGTCGCAAATTAGCAACAAACTTCGTCGCAAAATTCGTCGCAAATTAGCCACGAACTTTATCCATCGTAAAATTCGTCGCAAATTAGCCACGAACTTTATTTGTCGCAAAATTCGTCACAAATTAGCCACGAACTTTATTTGTCACAAATTAGCCACGAACTTTATTCGTCGCAAAATTTATTCGTCGCAAATTAGCCATGAACTTTATTCGTCGGAAAATTAGTCGCAAAATTCATCGCTACTTATTCGTCGCAAATTAGCCACGAACTGTATTGGTCATAAAATTCGTCGCTAAATATTCGTCACAAAATTCGTCGCAAATTATATACCATTTGGGCCATCAAATCTTGTCCATAGCAATAGCTATGCATTAATGAACATCATGTAATACATTCAAAATAATCAAAGGACACGAGACAACCATAGATTCCACTTCAGAAATAGAAAATGAACAAACCAGACACAATGCCATATAATTGAAAACTATAACTGAAGGAAAGATGCTAGTCCGCAAAAAATAATGATATATGCAAAGTTGCAAAATCTGACATGATGTTATTTGATATCCAATCTTATAATACATTCAAAACATTCAAAAGAGGCGGGACAACCATAGATTCTGCTTCAAAAACGAAAAATCGACAAACCAGACACAAGATTGGGCAGCTTTGGTACTCGGCAGGACACCAGAAGCAGTCACTTTTGTCGACACCTGATGAAATGTGGATACAAAAATAAAGATATTCAATCAGTCCAGAATATAAAAGAAGCGTTTATGCATGGATGTGGAACTAGGTATAAAAAAACACGTAGGAGGGTTAACAAAAAAACGTTTCAGGATGAACATCAATGTTCTTACATATGAATATGAGTCAACTTTGACATCCACTGTAGTTTTTTCACCCTTGTAAATCGTATTTCTGGCACCTACGAAAAATTAGATCCTTCTCCAAACAGCATTCAACAGTTTAATGACTTAGAGAGGTGAATTACC